AAAGGCGGCCCACAGAGAAGCAGGAAAGAAAGAGACGGCGAAAGCAGGAAAGGATGAGTGAGATTGAGAGCGGAGAAAGGGTGGGGGACTGGAGGTGAGTTTTGGAAACCAAATGGCTGCGTTGACACAGTTTCCCTGGTCCCCCAGCTGGGTTCTGAATACCGACTCCCTGCTTTATGCAAAAATTATGACTAAAAACTGGCGGTAAAGTCCTTGAAATGATAGAATGGAGAAAGTAGTGAGACTTTCTGGAGACTGTTTGAAAAATGGTAAAGATTTTACAGAGAAGTTGTAAAAGTGTTGAGTGAGTAAAGGAGTAAATATAGAAATAAATAAATACATGAAGGGCTCTCAATGACCACAGAGCAATCAGAGGAGTAACCAGACCCAGAACCAATTTAAGTTCTTTGTGGTTACGTCTTTCTGTCTGTCTGTTAGTCTCTTACTCCTGAGAAGGAGGATGAACAGAAAAAGTAGCAATTGAAGATGACCTTTTCGCACTTTGACCGGTCCTGCTAACTGCCACAAAGTACGGGTACGAGAGGCAGAGCTGGCTCTGTGATTGAAATTGACCTCGAGGGTACCGACTCGCCTACTCGTTTGCCCCCAGCTCCCAGCAAACGGACAGACCGACTGTGGAACGGCAGAGCTCATCCAGACACCATCTGGGCATATTTTAATTACCATTTAGGCAAACATTAAAAAAACCAGAGAGAGAGAGCAACCAAAGAGAACATTAAAAGCAAACTGCAGAGGCCCCGCCTTTCCTGCCCACTGCTCTGATCCTTGACCCTGGCCTGTCTGCTTTCAACTTCCCCTCACAAATGGGGGAATGCGGCAAATGTTGTCGGAATATTAATTCGACTTTGGTCCATATTTAAGCAGCTTAATGAACTCGAATCGTGGAGAAAGAGACTGAAGTTGCAAGAAACCAACTTAATTCGCCTCAAAGACTATTCCCAATCAATAGGGGGATTGGGGCAGGTAAAGCAGAGAAAACAAAACTTTTTTAGTGCCGCATCTCTTTCTCTTTCCGTTTCTCTCCCTTGATATTTGTTTATTCTTTGAACTTCTCCAATTAAAAGTAAATATTGTGAGTGCTTTATCTCGATTTCAGTCGGGCCTGGCCCAAGCAAAGCCCCAACCCGTCAATGCCATGACGTACCCGTTTGCATAGTTGGCCGTGTATCCACCTCCTCGACCAACTTTCTGCCATCGGACGACCGAGGACTCCTCCTCGCTTGCATTCCGCACGCAATCGGGCCATAGCCAAGGCTTCGTCATTTCCACTCTGTGAAGCTTTCGCTTTGTATCCGCATCTGTATCTGATTTCCACTTGAATCCAGCCAACTCCTCCGGCTCCAACTTTTGGCCGAAACTTTGCATTGCGCGTAATTTAATGCCTTTCAAAGCGGCGACGAGACCCCAAACAGCATGCCTTCTATCTCTCCAGAACAGAGCGTTATTTTCCTCCTTCTGGAGTAGCAGCGAGGTGGCTTTACTTCAATTTGGTGGAAGTATTTAGACGTACATAAGTCCTGCAAAATGGTAAACTTCTAAGAAAAAAGGTCGTTCTGACTGTGTGGAGTTTTTATATGCGAATATCCTTCGATTTCGGTATACTAACAGGGCCATGCAGCTTGCTCGACTTCCAGCTAATTGGGTTATCTCAAGGAATTGGAAGTTATTTTAAAGTTGAAGCAAAGTGAGAGTGAAAACATTGGCTAAGCAAAAGTTTAGTTACTATTCCAGCAAATCATCCGCACAAACACTGGCACAATTCCCGCACAGACACTTGGAAGGAATCACGTTTACAGCTAGCAAAAATATGGAATAATTTTATTTACGCCTCAACTTTGTAGCCACAAAATCATATGAGTAACTGCCACGTAAAGCAGGAAGGAGGGTGGGGAAGAGCCGTCGCCGTGAGGGGCAGAAACTGCAGAAGCATAAAAACTCGTGGTAAAAACTTTTATGTGCGTATCCCAGAGACGATTCCAGACAACTGCCGGAATTAAGTTTACCTTATTTGGCAGCACAAAAAAAGAGGCAGAAAACTCCAGCGGGAACGAAATAATAAAAACTGGAATTAATGCTGAATGGGAAATATTTCCGTGTATGCATCTATTCCTTCCCTCCAGTGAGCTCTGCCTCGATTTGCTCCAGGGACTTGCCCTTGGTTTCGGGCACAAAGAAGATGACAAATAGCATGCCTATAATGCAGCACACACAATATACGGAAAAGGCGCCATAGCTATTGATCAGAGCTGAGGGAGAACACATTATACAAAAGATGTAGTGCCAAACTTCTGATTGAACAAAACTCACAGATCATGTCCATATACGTTTTGGTGACTATGAAAGTGCACAGCCAGTTAAAAGCGGTGGCCACAGAGGCAGCCGGAGCACGGACACTGGCCGGCATTATCTCGCCCATCATTAGCCAGGGAATGGGTCCGAAGCCCACGGAGAAGCCCAGCACATAAAAACCGGCGGCCACCAGCGGCAGCCATCCCACACCCGAGAGATCCCAGTCCTTGTGCTTGCCAAAAAAGAATATGGCCAGCGTGAACAGGGTGATAATCATGGTCGTGTCGGAGATGTATAGCAGGACCTGGATAACAGCAGACAGATTAAAGCAGATCACGGATCTAGGATCTCACCTTGCGTCCCACTCGATCGATGACAGCGGTGGCTATTAGAGTGGCCACAAAGTTGACCACGCCCACAATGACCGTGGCAATGGCCGGCTTAATGGTGGAGCCGGCGTCCAAAAAGATCTGATGGGTGTAGAAGATCACCACATTGATGCCGCTCATCTGCTGGAACAGCATCAGGCCGAGGGATATGAGAATGGGCTTGCGGTTGCGCTTCTTGAACATGTCCCCATACGTGCTCTTGGCATTGGCCGTCTCGCCCTGGGTGCTGGCCAACTCCTTCATCTCTGCATCGACGTCGCCGGTCTTGCCACGCAGCCAGGCGAGCGACTTTTGGGCCTTCTCGGTCTTGCCGCGCGACAAAAGGTAGCGCGGTGTCTCCGGCACGAACAGGGTCAGAATGATAAAGGGAATGCAGAATATGGCCCCAGCGAAGGCCAGTAAGTACCAGTTGAGAAAGGAACCAAAGGCGTAGCAGAGCAACAGGCCCCCGTTGCCCAGCAGGGTGGGCATTAATCCCAGGGTCCCGCGCACATTCGGATGCAACGTCTCGCCCAGATAGACGGGCAGGACCAAGGTGGCCAGGCCCACGGCCAGACCGCAGAACACGCGACCAGCCAGCACCATGCCGATAGCTGTGGCAAAGCCGATCAGCAGCCAGCCGATAATGAACGGAGGAGCCGTGATCATAATTGTCCACTTCCTGCCGATATACATGATCAGTAGGCCGCCGAGAATGCCGCCCACAAGACAGGCCAGTGGCATAAGGCCACCCACCCAAGACTCTTCCTGGGATGTGATCGAGAACTTGCCATCATCGCCCTTCATGGAGGGCAAGGCCGGAGAGGTGTAAGCACCGCAGAAGCCCGTGCAGAAGGAGCACAAGGACACGGACACGGCCACGAGAAGCTGCAGATAACGAGACCGATAAGGTTTCCCAGAAAATATATTATCGAAGAGGCTCTTACCTGTGTCCAGGTGAAGTAGTTTGAATTTTCTTCCTTGGCATTTTCCTTGGGCGGCATGTTGTAAGTCTGTCCAGTGTGTGTGTTTCAATACGACGACTGTGTATATACGAGTTAACACATATCTGTCGGGATTTGAAAGGAGTGATTTAAATTGCTTTGAAAGAATTTCCAAGAAAATAATATTCGCCTCCTTATAAAAGAACGTAGAATTTCCGATCGTGAAATAGTTCCTCAGTTTTACCACAAGAGAAATACAGCTTAAGATATGGCCAGCAAAAGGCGCTACTAAATTTCTGAACCCCTCTGATGGTGCTATTTAAAGTGTTGGCGGCCTTTTCCATTGCGACGGCTCAGTTGAATGCAGCAACCTTGGTCCACACCATTCGCATCCAGGGACGAATTTCCATTGTTTTGTCTCCTCGCCATTGTTTCTAGCCCGGGCCCTGGTTTGGCCTTTGCCTCGGCGGCAGCTCATTAAAAATTCCATTTTCATTTTGCCCATCATCCATTTTGATTTCATAGTCGAGTGGATGGCGCTGGGTGGGCTTGGATTGGATTGGGTGGGACTCGTACTCGTTTTTGTAGCATTTGGAATTGCGTTGGGAGCCAGGACCATGAACTACGGTTACCAGACGGCCGACTGAGCGTCGCACACAATTTCCAAGAGTTTACTTTCTTGCACATTGATTTCGTTGAAACTTTCACTATGGCTTTCGCTCTTTAACGCTGGCAATTTGATATTTTATTTATATTTCTCTTAGCCCCCTCTCTGGTAGCCCCTCTTGCCACAGAGAACTTTTCAACGCCAGCGTAATTAAAAAATAAATACGGGAATTATGAACATTTTCCGGCATCAGCTCAATATATATTTCGCCGCAAACATGAATGAACCGAAACCCATGAATCCGCATGGATCCGGATGGGCCAACGAATTGGCCGCAGTGGATGAGGCCTACCTACGTAGTGCTGGAGGGTGATGGGGGCTGAAACAGTTGCCACAGTTAATTATTTGCCCGACCAGTTTGGCGAACGTGACGTATACGTAATTTTTCGCCCCACGCCCGGTTCGCTGATGAATTGTTTGCCCAGCACTCAATCAATATATGCATACCATACATGTAGATGTGTGCCTTCATATTTGCTCTCGTTTATCCATAAATATATTCATTCACTTTTAAGGTCAACAAAGTTAACGCTTCGTTCCTCATGGGTTTGGAAAGCACAGAACCGCTAAAATTGTACTTTAAACTTGAATGAGAGGACAACTATACAATGAGGCAGCATATTTCTTTCTCTCTATGCATACTGCCGAATCATAGGTGCTTTAGTCTTTATAATCAATTCAATAATAAAATCTCTCGGGTTAATACACTTTCCAGACTATAAGATGGCCGATAAGATATCGACATGCATCATTGGATCTGGCAATTGGGCCACGACCATAGCCCGAAATGTGGGCAGGAATGTGGCCGCAATGGCCAACACAATGGAGCCGAAGGTCTACATGTATGTGTATGAGGAAATAGTTGAGGGTCGAAAGCTTACCGAAATCATCAACACAACCCACATCAATGTGAAGTACATGCCGGACTTTGTGTTGCCTGAAAATATTGTAAGCGAATCGATCCATTAGAGTCTTCGTCCAGCACAGTGTAGCACTGATTTTCAGGTGGCTGTGGATGATATTGTGACTGCTGCCAGGGACTCCGACATCCTGATATTTGCCATACCCCCGACCTTCGTCAGCAGCTGCTGCAAGACCCTGTTGGGCAAGGTAAAGCCCACGGCCCATGCCGTCTCCCTGATCAAAGGATTCGAGCGGGGAGACGATGGACAGATCATACTGATCTCTCAGATTATCATGCGACAGTTGAAGGTTTCCTGCTCCGTTATGGTGGGCTGCAATTTGGCCCACGAGTTGGCCAATGATAACTTTGCCGAGGGCACTGTGGGTTGTCGTGATCAGAAGTACTACCGCGTGCTTCGGGACATCTTCAAGTCGGAAACATTTCGAGTGGTGGTCACCGAAGATGCTGACTGTGTGGAGATCTGTTCTACTTTAAGGGTAAATATCTGTGCTAACTCAATTTGCTCTGACCTTGAACTATCACGTAGAACATCATTGCCTTTGCTGCCGGCTGCTCTGATGGCATGGAACTGAACGAGAACACCAAGGCGGGCATTATTCGTAGGGGTTTCCTGGAGATGCTGCAGTTTGTGGATGTCTTCTATCCGGGCTGCCGCATGGGCACCTTCTTTGAGGCCTGCGGCATATCCGATTTGGTCACCAGCTGTTACGGCAAGCGGTTTCTTTATACAGATCCATAAGTCCAGTTTAGGAATTGTTCTTTTTAGCCAATCGTAATCGGAAGCTGGCCGAGGCCTTTGTGAAGACTGGGAAGCCTCTGTGCGAACTGGAGCATATACTCATATCAGGCCATGAGCCCTTGGGTCCAGTCACTGCCGAACTGGTTCACATTTTACTCAAGAAAAAAGGATTGGTGGACAAGTGCGCTCGAGAGCCTTTTACTGGCATTTTCTGATACGTTACCTCTGTTTGTTTTTTTTACAGATTTCCACTGTTTACAACGGTCTATAAAATCTGCATGGGAGATCTACCGCTGACACGCCTCGTGGAGGCCTTATGTCAGGCCAGCGAGGACATGTAAGGCCTTCATTCCTATTGGTATCACAGGAAAATCTAACTTTTTTCGTTGCAGCTTCCATCCGCAACACACTTTCCAGCTTTGAAGGCTGGTCCCCAGTTTAAAATAAATCAGAACCGAACAGAAAAGAATAGAACAGAAAAACAGCAATTTGGTTTATTCTTTTTTATTATTCTGTGAAATGGGGCATATAAAGCCTTGGTTATATTTGCCCGGCAAGTCTCGGCAAACGCAGGACTCAATATTCAAACAAAGCCCCTCGACATCTGCATTGTATTGTGCGTCTTTTCCTTCTGCAGTTCAAGTGTTCCTTTGCGGAGAGTGCACTCCATTGAATGCACCAACGCTCCGAGCACTTGGACTGTTCTGATGACTCGTACAACGGAAATCACTTCAACCAGGCGCTTGGTGGGGGCTTTGTGTGGTTCCTGGCTGAATGGGACGGAAAGCCGCATTGCTTTCTTATTGTTTCTCGTTTCTCTACTATACAACATACACTAGTTGTTCCATTCTTCGTCTCGATATGGTATTGTACTACAGTTGAAGTGCTCCCCAATCGAAATTGAGGAAATGGGAGCATCCACTGGAGGACTTGTCAAGCCTCCCTCCTCAAAACTGAACCTCAAAACCCTCCGGACAGGGTTCAATCAACTACATCACGATCTGCTTTTGAATTTGAATCAAACTATCATACAGAATTCTGTTGAGAGTTCAGTTCGTTATTCATTCACAAAAGAGAGACGAGACCTACAACCAGCAACAAAATTTTGGTTTTTGCTTTTTCTCCGATTTTTGATCAAATTTAAATCAATCTATCATAGCGTTCAGTGACAAAGGGAATCTTTTAAAAATGTTATCAAATATTTTACTGAAGGTCGCTACTGTGGTTTTTTTTCTTTCCATCGGCTTGGACATTATCGATCCGGAAAATGAAAGCGTACTTGGGGCAAGCATGAGCAAAGTCAATAATATTCTGGATGAGACTATATACTACTTTTGGGAGGATCTGCGTCCAAAGCCACAGGAGAATTGGTTCCAGCGCTACATTGTTCGGAACTTTCAAATGCTGTTCTAAAAGGAACTCAAATCAATTCGCAAATTCCCGAAAAACCAACAATGAGCATTACACAAGGCCGATTAAACCAAACCAAAGCGTGATGCCCAACTAAAAAAAATCATCGTATATATCCCCAAATTAATCTACTGTTCGATGGTTATTTAATAAATTATTTACGCAATTCATTTAGTTTTTAGTATTTCCGATTTCTGGCGGCATAATGAAATGAAAATGAAAATGGCAAAGGGCTTAACGCTTGGGCTGATTGAATGTAAGGGGGGATCATGTAAGGGGATTAGTTGGAATGTCAAAATTGCTATACTTGATTATGCCCCCGAATACCATTTAATCCATTCTGATGGCTAACTATTTTATTTGATTAGAATGTTGCCAGTCTTGGCTATGATACTTTTTTTTGGAATGATGCATCATATATAACTTAATAATAAAATAAAAAGAGGCTCTTAGATGGAGGGCTAAAGAGGCAGGAATCCCCAAAACTATTAGCAGCACTGTAGTTTTGCTGAATTTCTGACTTTCGTTCAGAGGGAATTAAATATCTCACAAGTCAAATTTTCATTTAAACCTACTGAACATTTTCTGCGGTTAAAATAATATGCCAACAGCAATTAAAATGTGTCACATTATGCGATGCCACTGAATGTCCAAATGTACCATTTCAATGGAAAAGCAATTTTGTCCCGATTTATTTGAAATTTAATTTTTTTGTAAAATCCTGCAAATATTCCACCATTCCAATTGCTTTATTATTAGTTCGTTTTGCATTTTCAGTTTAGGCGGACACGGTGCAAATATGGAGCTTACGTGCGGCAGATGCAAGTCCAAAATTGGTAGCTAAAAATGGAAATGAAAATTCCACAACTGTCTGCCGGAAGAGGGCCGGTACGGGCCTGTACGCCGCTGGCTAAACAAATATGCCATTCCATGGAGGAAGGCAAATAGAACTGGCCCGGGGTGCAGTGCAGTCAGTCGGACATGGAAAACCGATGAAAATTTGCATATCAGGCGGCAGCCAGTGGTACTACTCGTACTTTATTTGCCCAATTCTTGTTGCATTTTTGGTTGGGGATCTGGCTTAAAGCCTTTTGGCTCGTTCTTCGTTCGTTTTTGCTGATAATTACACGGTAAATTTGCCAAAATGTGACGCCAAATAGCAAACAAGATGCCAGTGAAGACTGAAACAAGTTGCACGTATCTGTGCGCTACGCACACAGGCAGTAACGTAACGTAACAGATACGAGTACTCGCATGCTTTGTGCCACAGTTACACCTTTCCCGAAATGAGAGAGAGAGAGAGAGAGAGAGAGAGAGAGGGAATAGAAAGAGCGATGTGCAAGCACTTCAAAAAATAAATAACAATTTGGTACGTTACACACGTCTCGGCTTATGCAAACGTATCTGTATCTTGTACCCTCTCTATTTCTACTATATACGTGTGGGTGTGGGCGTGTGTGTGTGTGCCTAAAAGAATACTTCATTTCATTTCGTGTTGAACATGGCCAAAAGCCACCCCACCCACTGGGCAAACACCACCGACAAATGGCAGCAGTGGTGGCGCTTTGTTGATTTGGTTATTGTGGCTGCCAGTTGTCTTGTTTGCCCTCAAATTGAACAAATAGCTAAAACAATCTCGGTAGAGAAGGCTCCACCACTTACCATATTTCCTGTCTTACACATGTATTTGCTGTTGTTTTACCAGGTCTTAAGTTATAGAATGTCCTTATAGAAGCCTTGAGACTTTGGTCACTTTATCGGGAACTTAATTGAACAGGGCCATCCGGACACTGCGGATCCGCGGGGTGAATCACGAAAAATGAACATTGAAGGTGAAGAAGGAGTATACCAAACTCTAGAAGATTTAATCTAATCCTATGATCCTCACTCAAGTATCCAACAACTCTGTTTAGTAGAAACTAAAAACAATTTCCTTTCATCAATAGTCATTCGAAATGTTTGTCGTAACCGTTTTTACATATTATATTCGAAGCACCTCCTAAAAATTTAAGTGTCCCATAGTTTTGGTCAAATTCGCAGTCGCATAAATTGTTGTTGTAGAAACCAAAACCAAGCCAAAAATATCGTGTTTCGTTGTGCATCTGCGGCTATATGGATCTGCTCTCGATAACGCAGAAGGTGCTCATACGCCGCACGGATGGACGGGTCCAGCTGGCGAGTATCATCAAGCTGGATGGCGGGTCCAATAGCTCCGTGACCGTGGAATGGCCCGAGGGCGATTGCACGCGTGGCAAGGAGATTACGCTGTCCCAGATCATTGAAATGAATCCGGAAATTTTCGCGGTACAGCGAAGAGGGAACGTGGCAGGAATGGCCTCCATTCCACCCAGAGCCTCCACACTGAGCGCCAGTATAATGGTGAACACCCTGATGCAACGTCTGCCGGCTGGCAATGCACCGTACCCATTGCGGCGCCTGAAGGTGGGCAGTGCCGCACCCAGGCAGCGGTCGGCCAGCCGGCAGGAGCGGCATCAGCAGAGGGACGTTCTCGGTGGATCTGATCGGTGCGACTCCAACTGGGACACTGCCAGGATGATCCGCTTTTATCGGATGCAGATGGAAAGCCGACCGCTGGAGAACATGGGCTTTCCGGGCCCCCTGAAGAGGCACGGAATTGTGGTGTGTGTGCGGAAGCGCCCTCTCAACCGGAAGGAGCTGGCCGAGCGCGAGCTGGACGTGATCAGCATGCCCCGGGCGGACATGCTGGTGGCGCACGCGCCGCGCCGGCACGTGAACCTTGTGCGATTCCTTGAGAACCACAACTTCCGCTTCGACTATACCTTCGACGAGGCCTGCTCAAACGCCACCGTCTACAATTATACTGCCCGTCCCCTGATCCGGCACATATTTGATGGCGGAATGGCCACGTGCTTCGCTTATGGGCAGACCGGGAGCGGCAAGACCCACACAATGGGGGGAGAATTCACGGGAAAGCAGCAGAACGTGATGGACGGCATCTATGCGATGGCGGCCACCGATGTCTTCAGCACTTTGGCGGAGCCGGCGAACGCCGGCCTGGGACTGAGGGTGACCTGCAGCTTTTTCGAGATCTACGGATCGCGGATCTACGACCTCTTGACTCCGGGCAGAGCGCAGTTGCGGGTTCTCGAGGATAGCCACCAGCAGGTCCAGGTGGTGGGTCTCACCGAAAGGCCAGCGCGCTGCACCACCGATGTCCTCTCACTCCTGGAGCAGGGCAACTGTGCCCGCACCTCAGGCCATACCTCGGCCAACTGCAAGTCTTCTCGCTCCCATGCCATTTTCCAGATTGTTCTGCGATCCGCGAACACGTACCGTCTCCATGGAAAGCTCTCGCTGATCGATCTGGCCGGAAACGAGCGGGGGGCGGACAACTCCAGTGCGGATCGAAGGACACGCCTGGAAGGCGCCGAGATCAACAAGTCCCTGCTGGTACTGAAGGAGTGCATCCGGGCTCTGGGTCGTCAATCGGGCCACATTCCATTCCGTGGCTGCAAGCTCACCCAGGTGCTGCGCGACTCCTTCATCGGAAAGAAGGTAAAGACCTGCATGATAGCGACGATCTCGCCGGGTCTGCGCTGCGTGGAGCACACACTGAACACCCTCCGATATGCGGATCGCGTCAAGGAGCTTACGGCACAGACTGTGCCCCCAAAGCGTTTCTCTCGGTCCACTTCCGTGGTGGCAGCCCCGTCCGTATCGGGAAGCAGCCTGGTTGAAACCAATTCCCTTCCGGATATCATCAGTCCAACCCAGGCTTCACAGTCCCTAACCAACTTGCAATGGTTCGTCTCCTCCACATCCCTACCGGTCGTGGAAAACCACTCGAACAGAACGACTAGAACCCGTCGATCTTTGGAAATGGACGCTCTGACCTACTGCTCAAATCCGAACGAGAACAGAAGACCCGAACGGGAGCAGTATAATCCTCCCAATTTACATAAACCCGTACCGCAGATGTGCTCACGGCATTCGGAGGTGAACTCAAGACATTCGGAGGTAAACTCAAGACATTCGGAGGTGAACTCACGGAGCACGGAGGGGAACTCACGGCACACGGAGGAGAACTCACGAAACACGGAGTTGAACTCACGGAACACGGAGGGGAACCCACGAAACTCGGAGGTGTTCCAAGATGCCTCGCTGCTGCTGTCCAAAGCTTTGGACCTGGTAAAAAGATCCCGTGAGAACGAGTTCTAAATCATGATTTCTACAACACACACATTATCTACTATATAAAATAAGTCTTGGATCTGAATAAAAAGAATCAGAGGAAGTAAAATCTTTTAGCTAGCTGAAAACGTGGACATTCATTCACCATTCGAAGAGCTTTACCTATTACCTTAAAGCATCCTCCGTATTACCCACACTACTGGCCTCATTCCTAGTTCATTTGTGTGCCAATCTGTGCGCCTGGGCTTAGGCCCTCAGCCTATACTCAAAACATTTCCATCTCTAGACTGTGGCCCAACTCGAACTAAGAGCAAATATTTTCCGCATAGTTGCGTACTAAGCCAAAAACTTACTTCTTTCTTTCAGTTTTTCTCTTGGCTTTTTTTCTGCGTACTGCTGGGAGGAGACGGGAAGTGACGTGGCTCCTTTGACAGCTGTCAATATACAATATTGGGGATTATGATGGTGCAAAGACACGTCTTACGACAAAGCTTTGTGTCAATATATTAAATTATGGCTTACGGCGGCTTTGCCCTAACTCCCAGGCCCTCTCTCCCACTTTCGCTTTCACTCTGCTTCTTTTTTTCTTTTTTTTTATCTGGCTTGACTTTTTGGCTTTTTTTCGCGTAAATCCCCTCCATAAATGCCCAAGGCAGAATAAATATGGTTGAAGCAGGCAAATTTTATGTTATTCCAAAACGTTTCACATTAATTGAAATCGAACTAAGAAGAGTATCAGTATTAACCAGGAATTTCATTTTAAATCGAAATCGAAGCTAAGAGCTCCACTTAAACCTCACTTGAAATATATTACGAGTAATTAAAAGGGAAATTAATGTTGTGGCTCGAATGTTTGCCGTCTTCTACGGCTGTCAACGATTTAATGTTTGCCATTTCATGTTCAAGTCCCTACCGTCACTCGCGTCGTTAATCAAAAGCGTCTTTAATCTTATGTCAAGTAATGTAAATAAACAATTACGAGCATTTATGTGTGCACACTTGCCCTCGCACCCACACGAGAACCCTGGCACACACAAGAGCACAAATTTTGCGGCTTAAAGTTAATTCGTTTCCCAAGTGTTTACCTAACCTGGCATTAAACCAGCTAGTGAGATGCACCCGCACGGTTCCCCCGCGCCTTCATATCCATCCTTTCTAAAATGCCATTAGCATTGCTACCTAAATAAGTAAGTGAGTAAATTTGATGGGCACATGCACACATACATACTCTATGTACATATGTACACCGACAAGAAAGGAGACAGAGCAAACAAAACCGGAAGGCAGCGCGTACGGAATCAGTCAAGTGCAAACATTTCAATTTTGAGGAAACTGATAAGTCGCATTAATGTAAACTTAACGTTGGATAAACAAATTTCTAAAGAGCGACCGATACGACCCCCGAAAAGGAACGAAACACATCAAACACATTTCTTGGTTGAAAGCTGAAAGCAGTCTTCAGACGCTGGCATCGTTCCCCCGCCAAGCCCCCGCCGCCCTCCTATATATCGATTACTTTGCGTCTAATGCACTTTGCAACTCCAGGACTCCAACAAGAAGAGCTCCCTCTCTATCAAATGGTTCAACTTGAGTCGAAAGACCTTGCCACGAAAGTGTTTTGGATAAAACTTTGCTCGTGGCAGTGCAGCCCCAAGGAAAGAAATATAATAGCAGGGATTCAGCTGGCGAGTAGGTGGAAATCTAGATGCTCCGCTAGTGGGCGAAATATCAATGAGCTAGTATAGCAGCAGCACATCCCACAAATGATACTTTCGTTATACTTTAAAAGACCTTAAAAGACCTCCACTTAGAGCTTGATTTCCATGTGGTAATCGTGTAAACCGATCACATATGCATGTACGTTATTCCAACAAATACAAATTTGATCGAAGAGTGGTTTAAGCAGTCCTTTGGCACTTCCCTTCCACTTCCGCCAATCCCTCATTTTGCTGGATGCATGTTGGCAATGATAATTGTCCTGCTCGGACTTTGTCGTTGTCATTGTCCGGCCAATAAATTGTTGGCAGCTGCATGTTTGTTAAGCCCCACCCGAGGGCCCCCAATAAGCCATGTCGGTTGCGTTTGCCTACAGGCTATTGGTTGAGTGGGCAGCGGATACTGGACAACACTGAGTCGTGTCCGTATCCTGTCTGGTGCTGTCCCTTCTGTCGACGCTTCAACTGTTGTGCCAGGCTTGGGGCGAATTATTTATGTTGCGAATTACGGGCTCAGTTAAAATAATTCTCCTTCGAGGCGAGAAAATAAATAAGATTGCCATATTTTCGAATGCATTCCGTTTTCAGGAAACCGATTACGGCATGCATTTGCAGCAGTTTTAAATTTGAATTAAAATTTCCATTACTTGCTGAACCACAAAGGCCTCGCTTAAAGCCTCTTACAATAATTGAAATGTCCTTATTTAAGCTCTCCCAGTGACCGCTTCCGCCTTCGCCTCCTCATCGTCCCTTAATCCAGGGCCCTGACGGCAAGAGCCGTCGTCCAGCTGAGTCGGCAAGGGGCGTTGCCTTTTGTCTTAACCCAAATTGTTCGCCATTAAGCCGTCAAGTGCTAAACATGCAAGCGATTCTCAATTCAGTTCTCCTTCTCTCGCCTCGCGTTGCCTTGCCTTGCCCCAGCTCTCTTTTTCTCCCATTCTCCATTCGCGTGCCACCGTATGGAAAACGTCAGAGAGAAATTTGCAAAGATAAAAACGAACTTTGCATATTTACAAACACTGTCAGACGTAGGTTAAAGTCCATTAAAAAATGGTGTGAGATGAACAGGGCAACAACAGGGACCCAGTGTGCAGGGAAGGGCAAGGGTTTCATTTCAATTTTCACTTGCCCACCTTTTCAATGCTCTCAGAGAGGGTATAGAGGCAAGTTTATCCAAGGGGTGCAAGCAGTTTTGGGTTCTTTACAAGACTTCAAAACACTGAAGAAGAGAAATCCAATCATAAATAGTTAACAATCTGGGGCTATACTTTTCGAACATAATAGAAAAATATGCTTCAAAATGCAGTGGAAGGATGTTCTCCGATCAAAGACTCTTTACTCATTTATTTCTTATAGAATATAAGCTTGTACCATCCTTTAAATAACGAAATTCAATTTGTTTCATTTTGATATCCTTGAACATCATAGAGTACATCCTTAGATATCAAACAAGCGTATATTCTTGATCTGATTATATGGCACTGGCCATCCTTTATAAGGACATTATCATTCCCCTGGCCACACAGCAGAGTGGAAATGTGTGAAAAATGAGAAACGAAAGAGCAGCAAGCTGTGACTGCCGAGCCACGGGGCATGGAATGCCTGCAACAGCCACTATAGTCGCATACTCGTATCGCCCCGAAGAACTTGACAAACATCAAGTTGGCTGCACTGCCACATGTCCTTGCAAGCCACGGTACATGTACATACATGTCTGTGCATGCGTGCGCGCTGCGCTAGTGTGCTTGTGTTTGTCACGCTAACCTCAAAATTGCCGCCAACAATTTAACAAGCAGACGTTGTGTGAAAAATATGTCAAACAGAAGGCGAAGGCGGTGGCGGTGGCGGTGGCGGTGGCGAGGGCGGTGGTATTTCGTTCCTCTCTTTTTTGGCCAGCTTTCATACGAAAATTGCGTTAGCACACAACACACACACACCCACACCCACACCCACACACAGAGACACACGAGGACGAGAGGACACTCAGACATGTCCCCATAGTCGAATTACTAACATAAAAAGTGGCTAACACACACACACACACACCGACGCATACAGAAACGCCGACACCCACATGCCAGGGCAGGGCAAACATTTTCCCAGCCACGTTTTGAATTATGCATGTCTGCCACACATGACTCGGAATCCCTCGCTCCACTTGTCTCTCCTCTCTCTTTTCGCCTCGTTCTGGGCCACGAAGAAAAATATACATATTCACCAAAAAATAAAATTACAAAATATGCAAACGGTTGAAGGCACAAACTATTCGTGGCACCAGCTCCAGGAGTTGAACCATAATGCGGCTCAGCGAAGCAGGAAGGATGTGTTTGGATATTATGGTTCCCCCAAACCTCATAATGACTGAATTCAGTGTCGAGAAGCATTTAAGTGTTCCTGAATTCCCATTTCCAGACTCCTTTTCTGCATCCGAATCCGAGTCCACCTTTGATTACCCATGTGTCCAGAGGTAAACGGATCATGGAGCCTACTATGGGCACAAATAAAGCCTAAAAGGAAGCTAATTTCAAAGTCAACTAGGAGCACAGCTTATCAAGAGTCTCTCGAACTGAAAATCTCATTTGCCTGGCATCATTTATGGGACCTAAATGAGGAAGTAGGTCCAAGCAAATGAATTTTCCCACAGACCAAGGACGCTTTAATACGACTAGGTGCATAAATGATTCAAATTGGTTACCAATCAATAGACAGTGCGGCTGTAACAAGCCCATTATGGCACATTCAGCTGCCTGAGTCCGCCGCCAGTTGCAAATACACTCCTTCACAGAGTGGGAAGACAGGGCAGTGAAAAAGCAGCAGTCAGAAAACAGTAATTAAATGGAAAACGCACTCGAAAAGCCAGCCGAGTCAAGGCACTCCTCTCCTGGCTTTGGGACACAATCGCGTGACTTGGAGGCCGACCCTCGCGCACTCACCAAATACCCACACAAACAGCTGTACTCGAGTGCTGCTCAAGTATGAATTTTTGTATACGAGTATATTCTTGTACTTGTACATGATTTCTTTTTATAATTTTAATTTGAGGCAACCTTGGCCCAAACGATGGCCTTGAGAGGGTCCTGGGCCTGGAGCTCGAGTTAATTTCGAGTTTCTTGTTTGCTGTTGAATAATAAATTCGGTTATTGATTTCTTCCTGAAAAATGAGCACAAAAAATAAGCCAGAAAATTAAACTCAAACCGGAACCGGATGATGGGATGATGGAACGATGGGATGACGACGCCCACAGACTGTGAAAGTTTATGGAGTCGTTTGGGGTGCTTCAAATGTACTGCTCATCTGGGGGCCGCTAGAGTAAAGTTGTTTGGTTTACTTTATGATCTTGGCACTTGTTGTTTTCACTCCCAAAGAACAACATAATTTTGGCCAGTCAACAAT